TACTTACTATACAACATTAACCGTTTTCGAATTGAATTTCGTTAGTGCTATTAATATATGTGGTTACATTAAATAGGGAGCTTTATCAATTTTAGTGTCTTTAAGGTCTTGGGAATATTAGTTAAACTTAACTAATAAGATGTCTCGGCAATATTTCGATAAAAATTTCCCACGAAATAAGACATAGTCCTTTTCTTAGGAATATAGATGTAGTTTGTATGAAATGTCTTGGAGTACCTATGTGATGTGATACTTGTTGACAGTGCAATTATTAAGTTTGTAAATTATAATTGTTGAGGGTAATAACTATTATATTTGTCGAAACCAAATACGCAGACATAAAAAAAATCATAACGTTTTGCTCGATAAAATGTATAGTAAGATTGATAAATTAATGTCAAATTAGACAAAAAATTAAGCAAATTTGATTAATGTCATTTGCGCTTATCAAACCAAAATTCTTGGTGTGGGTATTTTAAATGAAGTTTTGATATTATAATAATGGATTAGGTATCATTTTCACGTAGGTGAAGATGATCTGTGAATGTTTTTTTTTTAATAATTTTAGTATAAGTGACTCAATTTTTTTGTAATATTCTATAGATCAAATATAAATGTACATTTTCAAAGGTGGATAAAAAGGGGAATTATGAAGAAGAGTCTTAAAGATAAACACTTTTTTTGCTAGAATAGACAGTTTATGGACTAAAATCACACGATTCCTATGGTATCTGGATCAACGATAATGTATTTTTCACATTTCATTGTCCAAACTTTGCTAGAGGCTCATAACAAAGCAATAACAAAACATTTTGAAATTTACAAAATATTAATAGGAAAAATAATTTTTCATAACCCACAAATACGTTATAAATTAGATATATTGAACATATATTATTTTTAAAATAACTTTTTTTCTAAATCTAACATGAAGTGTAGAAACTACTTGTTCCTGTAAAGGACCAAAGCTAAAAAAAAACAAATGTTCAATATCATGAATACTGTACTCACATCGAGTAAAAGCTTTGGCACAATTTACAAATTTAATATATTAAGGGAGAAAAGACAGGACATCGTAACTGACACAGACCTGATTTTGTAGGAGTTGTTTTAGTTAGTTATTTTAGAATTATATTTAAAATAATTTTGTTATCTGAAATTAATAGTTAAAAATACCTGAATTTGGACAAATACTCGTTTTTATACTTATTATTTTATTTTGCACTCCGCTTTAGATCTAGATGAAAATATACAAATAACTCATTTGTGATAATTTTGTCAATTAGTTCACTCTCAATATAATTATTTAACTAGAACACAAGATAAATTACAAAATTGTTTTTGACATTTTTCGTTTTTTGGATTAACCCATTTTTTTAAATCAAAATACATGCTAGACTTTTTAGTTTTTATGGTACAATCAATTGCAAATTGCTTAATTATCCTTTATAGATTAATGGATTATTTGAATTTACAGAGTTGAAAATAATTTCCAATTGTTCCGTAACTGTCATTTGCTGTGAAAGTTCCACGTTCTGATAAATCATCAACTCAAGTAAAATATTGTTACCTAGATGCACAATCTTTGTTGTATCATGACTCCAATGTAGGAGAGTTTTAAACATCTATTTCAGGTGTGTATTGTACTATGTCTACTTTTGGTTACTTTTTATAAGAAAAAAGACTTTTTGAAATTGAGCTGCCGTTTTTGGAAATTGCTATTTTATACACTGGTGGAAAAAATGCCGCAATACTGTGTGTGTGAATTCTAGAGTGTCATTTTATATGTATGCAAGCAATCCTTGTTTCATAAGCGGACGTTCTTAATTTCTTATTTTGAGTATTTATACTTAGTATTGGCTATGGTACACTTTCAAAGTACTGTGAAAATGACCACTACGTTCACAGAGGTAACGCATTAAATTCCCAACTCATACAGCACGCGTTGGAATATTTACGGCTTACTGTTTTCATGGGGTTGAGTAAAATAAATAAAATAAAGATATACTCTAAAATTCGTTTCCTTTAGAAATCACAAGTTACAAGTGCAGATTAATTTTTCCTGTAAATTAAATTTTTTCTACACCTTTATTTTTTTATACATGTATTATTAACACGTCATAACTTTGGTTTAACTTGATTAATGTTGGCAAATCCAGTTCCGTTCCGGGAGATGTCTTACGGAATAGGAAGAAATGTACACCACTGACGTCTTTGCAATGTTTGTTATTTAATTTCAAAGAAACACAAACAAAAACCAAGTAAACTCTATAAAAACAACATGCCTGGGACAGAAATGGAATAATATTCTTTTGGCGCTTTTGGCTAAGTATAATTGCTTGCATATTTCCGATACTAAAGTTTCGCGAAATATTGGTTTATAATTTTTTTTAGTGTAGCTTTCTGGATTTTGGTAATGTTCAATATTATTTTTATTAGGAATATTTTTCCAATTAAACCTTGAATGAAACAATCCAAAACAACGGTTAAGTTATCTCATGAAAACTAGCGAAATATGTACCTGGAGTGTTGATGATTACTGCTAAAATTATTGATACTGCCAAACAATAGCCACAAAATATTAGCGTTATAGAAAAAACATGGTGAGCAATATGAGCAATATATATTTCTCACTTGTCTGGATGAGTTTTAATTGTGCCTTCATGAAATAAGAGGTCTTAAGTGAAATGTGTTATGCGGTGAGTGAATATTATATGCGAATGACAAGATACTTATGTGTAATTATTTTGCTAAATAAAATTCTTTATATTTAACCTCCTGCAACCATTCAACTTATGGCTTATGGCAAAAATCATACTCAGAAGACTCCTGAACCGTCAATACTATAGGCTCTGTCTCTGAAAGTATAAACTTGTGGGAATATCATGCAAATGTGTTTTTTGATACAATTGTTCACATGTAGATGAAACCGCTAGTCAGTATCCCTTAGCCGTAGTAACCACGCCCTTGTGCCTTCGAAACATCCATACAGCAGATTTGTTATTTTTTTTTATTGACTACGTTTTACAAAGAGTAATTGTAGCAAGTCAATATCAATCTTAATCAAAACCAATCTGGTGGTGGACATTAAAGCATTAAACTAAACTAAGAGATCTGTGTGAAGTAGTAGGTAATCTTGAACTATCTTTTTAAGAGATATGTATCTAAGGATGTGGACTCTCAGAAGATTATAAGATTATATAAGATATATATGATTTTTACGAATATGAAGCAGCTCTTGATACAACCAAACCCATGGCAATACGTAGTCTTATAAACCATGGCGAACAATGACCAATTTATAAACAATATCCTAAGAGGCTGAATGACCCCACCGCAATGCTGCATAAGTTAAATGAGAATGCAATAGAGCAATGAGGTACTTATCATCAATTAATCATCTGAGTCGTCTCAGAACAAACAGTCCACTGCTAAATTTTGCTTTCAATTCATCAACATCTTTCTATCAATTTGGTCTGTCATCGATAACAACACCAAGTAGTTTAGCTGATCTACCATTCGTAATAGCTTTATCGGTTGAAATCGTCAAGTGTTGGGCCTTGTCAAGGTTGTCAAGGTTATGCCGGTGGCATTTATTGATAGAAATTGAAAGACTAAGGTAATTGATTTATATGAAAAATAGTTATGGCCCCAAAACTGAGCCTTGAAACACTCCAAACCGTAGACATTTTAAAGTCGATATCTCTCCTTGGAACTCAACTCACTTTTTTCTCCATGATAAATACGACTCAATAAGCTCTAAATGTGTATCCCGAATTCCATACCTGGCAGTTAAAATATCATGAGAAACACAGCCGAAAGCCTTACTCGAGTCACACAACGTTAACTGTCGATTTGTAGTCCAATTAAGTCGAGTTGAAAGAACCAAGTAAGTTTTTTCAAGTCCCCCGCCACCTTTTGTCTTCATTGTCTAATATTTTTGGAAGAAAATGGTAAATAAATTTGAGGATTAGGAAATATTTTCGTCAGCCCCTAATAAATCTAGTGTTAAACTTAATAATAATAATAATATTTCTTTATATATGCACCTCGTATTTACATTACAAATCACAGCGAAGATTCAAAGTGTGGACATCAGTTCGGCATTTTATTCTTTCAAAGAGAGATGGAGGGCAGGCATTTAAAATTATATTATGGTAAAAAACGACTGCGTGAAACTGTAGATCAATCATACACACGATTTTTGCACTCTTTGAATTTTGGTTACGCCTTCTAACTAACCAACAAAAACCATAAACCGCATCTGCATAATTAAAATGAGAAAATACCAGCGAATCCATTAATCGAATTTTAAGGTTAGTTTCTAAAAGGTGACTACTCGAAAAAATGTTTTTTAAACACATATAGGCTTTTTGAATGCACGTAGGGCTTGAAATGCAAATCACTATCAAAGTTTAGTTCCAAATTTCGGGCGCGTCGGACGCAAATTAAATATTGATCTTTAACACTTATTCGACAGATTGACCAAATAACATAAGGTAATATTAGGTAGCATTTATGTCCTTGCCTGCTGGAAATTTTCCGGAAAAAATGAAAAATAGATTTGGTGGTCATCAGCATAGGAATGAACCTCCTGTAAACAACTACTCAAATTGCATGTATAGATATTAAAAAGGAGAGGCTCTAATATGCAGCCTTGGGGTACTCCTCACGGAATAGTAACATTATTTGACTCTCCTTTTTTTCTAAACTGAAAGCGGTCAGTAGAGTAACTACGCATAAAAGAGACTGCAGCATCTACAACCCTAAATAATGCAGTATTGTCAGAAATCTTTTGAGTAATCCAACAAAATAAGCGCAGTCGTTTTGTTTATATCACTTTGCCGAAGAATGTCGTCTGTCATATTTAATAGTGCTGACGTGCACCCTTTTGGAAATAGTAATAATAGTAAAAGTTTGTTGGTTTATCATTTTTTCAAGAACTTTTGCAAACACGGGTAAGATGCTTATAGGTCTTAATCGAGTTTAAATTATTTCAGATCATTCTATTAGCTTTAATTGGATTCGTTTTGGGGGATGTCGGCTACCTCCCGCCGCGAGTGCCTGGGGCTGGTGGAGTAGGTTTCGGAGGCGGATACAGTGGTTACTCGGGCGGCGGACCCCAAATACCAATTATAAGGTAGCATCCACGAAGCCTGAACCGCCCTAATGGTCCAAGTAATCGGGTTTACTTTAGGTATGTCAACAATAACCCTGGAGATGGTACCTACAATTACCTCTACGAAACGGGCAACGGAATAAACGCCGACGAAACTGGTGACGCTCGTGGTGATGGCACCAAAGCTCGGGGTTCTTTTTCCTACACAGCACCCGACGGACAAAGGATAAGTCTGCAGTATACTGCCGACGAGAACGGTTTCAGGCCGAGCGGAGCTCACCTGCCGACTCCTCCACCCATTCCTGAGGCTATTCTAAGGTAAAAAATACTCCCATCGTATCCAACGACGTGGTAATATGGATTTCGAGATTTGGAATCAGATTCTTTAAGTGGCTTTTCGATGTCTGGTAAAACGTTTATGAAAATACAAAAAAAATGTCGTTGTTAAATCATCTGTTGACTGAGACCTTTCCCAGTATCATAATTTTCGCCAATAAATAATTTCTTAATTTTTTGGACATTGGAAATTTAAAGAATATTCAAAATTTCGGTATAGCATATTTGTGTTCTATCACTATATCTAGTTACCTTCACAAAAATCAATGAATTCGAATTTTTCGAAAGTATCTGCGCTCATATAAAAATTTTATAACTCGGTGATCACCGTCGAAAAAAAATTTTTTTTTGTCTGTCCGTTCTCCGTTCTCGTCTTTTGGGTTTTCCTGAATAACTTTCGAACCTTTGGAGCTACAAAATTGAAATTTGCCTCCTTTTTAACCCTCCACAAGGCACATAAGCTTATAAGAAATGGCCCTGATCCGACGCCGGTATCCATCTTTTTTTCGCTATTTTCGACTGTTTTTTGGACCTTGCTAAGAAACATGACAAGTGTCCGAAATTTAGTAATCGACTTCATATATGGCATATATCTGCAGCTTTGCCCCGTGACAGAACCTACTGAAAATGGGGCGGCTGGGGGGTCGGGAAGTATTTAAAAAAAATAAAAATCGCGTGTGCAAGGGTCTACAAAACAGACCATTTTTCAAAAACGGTTTACAAGACCGAAAAAATTCTTGAACCAAAAGATGCAGAAGAAACGACTCCATAAACTTTTATTCCTAACAATTTTTCAGGGGGGGGGGGGCGCCGCAAATTCAAATAAACTGAAAAATGGGTCCCCGTATTATTGAAAATTGGTAATAATTTCAAATCTGTGTTTTAGAAGTCAATTTCTTTTACATGACGATACCTGAAGACCCTGAAAGTTGTTCTTTTAGAGAGTAAATTATTAACCGTAAATCAAAATTCGTACAAACAGTAGCTAATCCGTTCAAACGGTGTTATAGGCCGTATCAACGGCTACAGCTTTTGTATTTACGGTTTTCGTCTATCACATACTCTGTTCGGCATATTTGAAAAAATCCAATGAAAATCACCATTTCTCGCCCTCAATCTAGACGCGATGACGTCATTTACTATTACCACGTACTGTATGGTTTCAGGAAACAAGTAATTTTTTGAAAGCCATTTACTCCATTGGAAAAATTCGGATACCAGAAAACTAAGGAGATCCAAGGCTATTCCTTTATTTCGAACATTGTTGGAATTATATACAGGGTACGTCGTTGATGAGCAAAAAATTTATTGGCGATATATGAAAAACTTTTAAAGATGTGATAATTTGATATGAACAGTATCGTAAACTGTGTCGAGAGAGAGTTTAAGGTTGTAACGGGTTCAATTTGTCATTGGCTACTTCGACTTATGTTTCTCACATGTAGGTTAATAATGCTCGAAGACTACCTATTAAATGTTTTATTCTCACAATTACACACTGTCTTAATCCTCAAAGCTACTGGTATTGCTAATTATTCTTCACTACTTCATTCTGTTCGAACACACTGTAACTGTTTAATTGCTTGGTGTGGTTTGCCTGTCCTAAAATAAATGTAAATAAGTGTAAGTCCTTGCATTTTTGCTGCAATTTAGGATGTTACTGCGGAATGCGGTTGGATTGCACGAGACGATCGTCCTGTATTCCTTCTTATTTCCGAACTAACGGCAATTTCTATTCTTGTCCCTTGCAGTCATTTATTTACACTTGTTGCTTTTTGGAGAGGTTATATTTCAATCCTCTGTCAACGCGAATGCACTCGGCCATTAGTACAGTTAAGCACTCGACCTTTGGCCCACGTTCGTCTTCAATTTCCTAAGACGTTACTGTGTAATCTCAGTCATGTGTGTGTAATAATTGATTATTATTGGTAATAGCGGGTAGTAGTTAGGTAATATTTAGTCTCCTTGCGTTGATTAACTTCTGTCATTATTGGCCGATTGACCCTAGTGGTGTTGGAACCGAACATCGTATTGCCAGCACCATCGGTCTCTTTTTTTGGAACTTTGTGAAACTTCATCGATCTTTCTTTCTTTGGCCTTACGATTTCCGCCGCTGCAAGTGGTTGCAAGATTTCAATCCGAATAAGTTTGTGGCATCTCGTAATTTTCGAGGATTAAACCGGATTGAAATCGTATAGAAGTTGCGGATCGTCGTCTTGTTGGTAGTATTTTGCTTGGACGTCCCCAACATTACAGCTTAGGCTGGATTAAAGCTAACCAACCTAGCACCTGGCACTCTTCACCGCCACCCACGATCATCAGGCGGTTTTTGGTTCTGGTTTTTGGTTTTGGATTTGGTTTTCCTTTTGGAACCAGTTTTTGATTGTTGGACTGGTTTTGGCTTCCCATTTGGTACTGGCTTCCCCAGTTCCGGTTCAATTGGATTTGGTGCCTCCTTACATCGTGGACGGCACGTGTTATGAATTCTGCAACCCAAGAATTCTTCAAGTCTTCAAGTTAGCTCGGTTCAGGACGTTGCAGTGCATATCTCCTCGTCCAAGAGTGATAAGCATTCGTGCCTATCCCACTGACTGGTGAACCCGTAGGCAGCATACAGGACAGCCATCTTAGAGCTTGCCCGACTCGTTCGTTGCTGGTAACTGGAGGATCACAGATAAGCCTCTATTTACGTTTCGGTTAATTTTATTCCTATTAAATACAAATTTCAATTTTTAAATATCAATATAAATTAAAGAGCTCAGTTAGGGTAAAGATAAAGTACACAATTATAGAAACATTTGTTTGTAAGAGTTATTTGTAAACGATCGATCGTAACCAAGCTTCCTGTGGTTGGTGTGTACTTGAGCCAATATATGGAGATTTAAACTGACGTGCCGGTTTATTTATTAATTATTTATTTGGTTTTTGGTTATTTGGGTTCGAATTTTGTTAACTTTGTGAGTTTGTTGGGTGGCTAGTGAGCAAGGACACTAGTCACTATCACTAACTTATAGTATAGGTTGGGGTTTTGTCCTAGCTGGCGCCCCGTTTTCCAACCGGGGTTCTATACCCCGCCCATATTTTGAGAAACTGAGCTGCTTGGGCCCTATACTTACTGCTTCCAATCGGTAGCAAAGTGAGCAAAGTATAGTAGGATTGCTTCGGTCTCCCCTCCACCTTCAGTGGAAAAGAGACGTGGCAAGGTTTCTTCTATAATACAGGGGACGCAAGATTATTGAAAAAATATAATTTTAAATTGCAATTACCAGTACAAATTTTAATATTTACCGAAGTGTGCCCTAACTTTGAAGTTCACAATCAAATTACATTGATTTTGCGAAAGTTCCATAGCAGGAGCACTATAGAAAAACAAAACGTCCCTCTAGGACAAGAGTCCGCGAAGCACCTTCTTTTTAAAATAAAAAGCTTGCCCCACTCACCGACGATTTTTCGAAAGCAATCTTGTCTCTTAACGCGAGAGAGCTATAAAATGTAAATTTGCAATGGCAGCGATCATTAAACAAGGTGGACAGCTTAAAGGTTATATAGTAAAGTTTAGATGAATTGCAACGATAGTTTCCGATAAATTCCTTATTTCAATTTTTAATAACTACAATCCTCGAATTGTTAATAAATTAGGGTTTGATAAATTTGCATGCAATTGAGGCGAATTTTGTGGATGAAAGTAATGTTACATCAGCATTGCTACAAGTAGTTTCTTAGAATGGGGTAAAAATATTACTACTTAACGAAACTTACTTTAGTAAGTAGTTAAAGTTGAAATTAACTGAGATACAGGATGTCAAAATGGCAATTTCACAAAATTTTATAAATCGGGGTGTTCTGATATTTTTTGAATAATTTTGGTTCAAATTGTAGAGGACGGAGAGACGATAGTATTTTTCGTGCATTTGATACTTTTTTGCGCCTCAGTACATGCAGATTTTTAATAAAGATATCACTTCTTACACCTTTTTTTTATACGAAAAAGGTATACTTTTAAAATTTCGCCCCGAGTCGCCGTTTTCGAGAAATTCGCATTTGAAATTTTCGTGTGAACATGCAAAATACTTTAAAGTAGGTTTTGACTAACATAATCAGGATGACAAGCAGTAAAATAGTGCGAAGTGGAGTCTACAGTTTATGGAGTTTTTCACCATATCACTTTCCTGTGCAAAATCTTTTAGAGGATGATCCTCCATCCAGATTGGAATTTGCGCGTTTTTTGGAATGTTTACAGGCACTTAACTTTAATATTTAATAATATATAATAATAATTGATAGTAACATGTTAGGACCCACTAAACTACCACCTAATTTAAACGACGAGCTGTACCTTAATTTTTTGCAAACTTAATTTGCCGATTGTCTGGATTTTCTATGTTTAGAGTTAAGAATAACAATGATTTTCATGATAGATGGCGCTCCGGCGCACTTTTCGAGACATGTTAGAGACTACCTAAATAATTAATTTCCTTTTCGTTGGATTGGCCGCATGAGCCAAACAAACACTTAGGAGTCCAAATTTGAATCCTATTGATTTTTGTATAATGAAGTCGCTAGTATATGAGTAGGTAGTTCATAATAAATAGATTGTAATAAATTTCCGAGCAGTAGTAGTAGGGAAGCACGTTTCAGATTTTAAGATAGTTTCTTCGGTTTTTGCATTTTGCATTATTAGGTGGGAGGCTTACTAAAACGTGAAGTTAGTAGTTTGCACAATTTTGTTGCTAAACAGCAAGCACCAACACATACTCAACTCGTTTTTCCAATGAAACTTTAATTTGATTTGGACATACATTCAGACTGAAAACTGTCGAAATGGCGAATGGCTATGTTAATTATTCAACGCCATCAGGTCTTAGTTTTGAAAGTTTGACGGGTCAATGTTTTTAATTTATTGAAATGTAATGTCATCTTTTTTCAGAATCTTGTGTGTTTCTTCTTTTTTGATACTAAAATGAAAACAAGTCCCATTCGAAAAAGTGAGTTGTTTACGTGATACAGGGTGCAAAAGTATTTCTACAAAAATTCAAAAACTGCGTTAATTATATTGACAAAAACATTTACTTTTCTTTATAATTAGAAACTTTAACTTCAAAATGAAAAGAAAATGCGCCCTTGCTCAAAATTCTTAACCGCAAACATCTCGAAACCAACTAAGAGCACATAACATGGAGCAAGAAAACATTTTCAAGCAAAAAAGGTCATTCATTTAAGTTTTTCTATTTCACTTTGTTTTTTTGCTGCTGGGATACTGATGAGTAAACAATCTTAAATTGCTTTTCACTGTTTGTCGTAAAAGACGACACAATTCAAAATAAAACCCCTTTGGCTAATCTTTACGCGAGTATTCCTGCCAGGATCAGAAATAAAATTAATAATAAGGCGCTTTTGCAGAAACCGTTGACTTGCGTTTTGATCTTTAAAGATGATACTTGCGACATCTAGCGGACAACCTATGAAGTTAATTTAGTTCTGTTTTACTGAAAAATAATTTTTTTTCTCTATACGCTGATAGTCACTAGTATAATGCCTACATGTTGAACAAATATAAGAATTAGAAAAAATGTCTTCCAAAACATTTTCTTGTTTTCTTCGACCCATTCATTGAGATTCTGTTTCTTACGGTTTGACCGTACCTCTAATTCTTGACTCATACACTCTGTTTCAACTCATTGTTTGAAGATATTATTTTTCTACCATTAAAATGCTCTAACGGTATCCTTTAAATTCTAGGAATTAATTATATGTCCAATTTTCTGTTCTTCCTAGTCTCTTTTAATTACAGTTTTTTTTAAAACCGTCATGTTTTGTTAGATTTTCTATTTTTTTCTGTTTGGAAAACAATCATTGTCTTATCTCTATCAATCCGCAATCGACTCTGTATATCATTTAAAAGCAATAATATTTTATTTTGATTTTGCAACATCTCTGACCGAACCTGAAATCAGAGATGATTGCGGTTTGTGTAACGAAACCCACGTGGGAGGTATAGAAATACAAATTGCTGATATCGCGCAACATTAACCCGTACGAAATACAAGGTTTCCCATAAAAATTATCCGTTTTTGCGCTGACATGCGATGATGTGTCTAATCAATCATAAACATTTTGTGAAAGTACGAAATCCTGTACGAACGTGTGAGTGTTGACGTGATGCATCGTGCCGTTTTTTTTATCCGCCCGACGTTCTGCCAAACAAACGACCTATGTGCAGAAGAAATTAATAATTTTAGATTCGCACTTCTCGGGCTTTGCGTAACAGTTAAATTGATGCGTTTGACAGACGTAAAAGTGTTGATTTTTCTGTAATAGCAAATTATTTTGCAACGCTACCCGTTTTTTGCTCACTCACGTTTCATTTTATTTTATTTTTTTGGTTTTGTCAAACCTGATAATTTTTATATGATTCCGCGGCTTACTTACCTTTTTTATTTATTTTTTTTTTTGCTTTTGTGGACAGTGCTTCTTCTTCTGGATGATCAATGATTTTTATTCATGCTATGATATTATACACTTATAATCAGTTATTAACCAATTTTTGTTACTTAAAAAAGTTCCATATACTCTTCTTTTTTTCCCAGTCCAATAGAAAAATTATGTAGATTGGTTTTTAGAATCCAAAAGTATATTATGCAGCAAGCGCGGTACACGGCATTTGACTCACGAGTTTATTTGGCACAAGCGGAGCGAGTGTTTAATAAACGAGTGACTTAAAAAGTTTACCGAACGTGTTGCATACTATACTTTTTCTACGATCGTCAGTTTTTGAGTATATTTTAGCAAAACAATACGAATACATTCACTGACCTAACCGTCAGAATCGGCAAATATCAAAATTGAAAGCGTGGGAAAAATCTCCGACAACATCCGATTGCTCCCAAACCCGTGCGGTAATATCCCGGAAATGCCCGAGTGGCTCCGATTAGTGGAAAATGAAACTGATATGGTAAAGTAACGCTTCCCACACGCTAGATCGGTGTGTAGTTAGGTATTTTACAGACGGGAGTAGAAGAAATTGTTTGCACCTCAATGGTGTTAAAACGATTATATGTGCGATTTTTTCTAAAGTTTATTTCGATCCCATAATCTATATCATGTTGTTGAGAATTAAAGTAAGAATCGCTTTGCAAAAAAAGTCTGTATTCTGTTATTTTCCGATTGAATTATATGTTTGTTAAAAAAAGACCCCTACAAAGTTTTCACTCAAATTTTACAGATTCCTTTGGTAATGGCGGAGAAGTTAACTACATTTGGATGGACCAAACTTATTCTAAATTGTTAAATTATTCCAGATCGATAGAATACAACAGAGCGCATCCCGGAGACGACGGGCAGTATAGACCTGGCTCCGACGAAGGAAGTTTCGGAGGTTACCGATATTGATCCTTTAGGGAGTGTTCTTTTAGCAAAAATGCCAGTACGACGATAATTCTAAATAATTTTTATGTGTTATAATGTATGTATTTATTTTTTGCACTGCCTGTACAAGACTCGTTAATTAAAATCTTAATAAAACATTACTTATTATGATGAATGAGTTTGTTTTCGAAATCGGAAACCGCGATTTACAAAATGATAGGTTCATTCCAACTGCGCTCAAAAATAGTTTCTGGCAGTTTACGTACGTTGGTTATTCGCCTGTTATCGTTTTTTGTTATCCGAGTTCAGTTATTAAATACTAAGGAATCAATTATTGTATTGAATACATAGTACTGAGTACTTGTCAGTTTGTTTTCACGATTTCAAGAGTATGCTTCTTAATGTGTTTACAAAAATGGTATAATACATACGAAGATATTTTCAGACGTCTTGTTTTACTTTACTTTACTTGTTTTACTTCAGGAATATCCATTCGATTTTGCACCACCCGATTTTCGTTGGTCTTTGGTTTAAAATGACTTATCGAACCCTAAATTTTGTCAAAAGAAGACATTTTTTTCTTTTGTTTAGTTAGTTCATCCCCGTAGTCTGGTAGTCATGGTGTTAATTAGTTTTTTTTTTTCAATATTTTTCTTACTTTTTACTCTCGCGATTCTGTAGTAGTTAATTATTCCATTTGATTTGTTTCAAATATATCATCAATATCTATGTAAAAATAAATAACCAAGATCATAATCAAATAATGAAGATTCGTCATTGGGAAGTTATTGAATTACTGCAATGTCAATGTAATTGAAACTGAAAAAAAATCAGAATTCCTTAAAATAGCAATAAAAACAAGAAAAAATGTTTGAGAATTTAAAAAATACCAAATGAATACATAATAAAAATAATAATGAAATTACTTTTAAAATGGATTAAACCTATTTATGATTTGGGGTTGGAAGAAACCTAATGCCAACAACTATTTTTTGAAACGAATGTTGCAGATCTAAAGCAACACGAAAAATAACATTTGAGACCTCAGAAAATATTTGTCAATGACCATCTTCCTGGTAATTTTTAGATACAAAAATTAAAAAAAAAATCTTTGAGAATTTTGAAAAATATTAAATGAAAACATAACAATAATAAAATATTTTTTTACTTTCATTATGATGTTTCTATTTATGATTTGAGGTCGGAAGGAACCTAATGCCAGCCACTATTTTTAGAAACGAATGTTGCAGATCTAAAGCCAGGCGAAAATACCTTTGAGACCACAGAAGACATTTATGTCAATGGCAATCTTCCTGGCGATTTTTAGATTAAAAAATTGTAAAAACAGTCTTTGAGAATTTAAAATATAATATTTTTTTAGTTTCAAATGTTGATGATTTGAGGTTGGAACGAGCCAAGTGCTAACAACTATTTTTAGAAACGGATGATATTTTTTAAGACCTCAGAAGATAATTATGACCACGACAATCTTCCTGGTAATTTTTAGATTTAAAAATTGTAAAAATAATCTTTGAGAATTTGAAAAATACCAAATGAATGCAAAATAATAGCAATAACATAACTCTACATTAAAAATGGTTTAAATCTATTTTTGATTCGAGTTTGGAAGAAACCTAATGGTTGAGAAACGTATATTGCATTAGATTCAAAAAATAACTATCTTTTCAAATGGATGTTGCAGATTTAAAGCAACTAGAAAAAAAATTATGAGACCTCAGAAGATATTTTGATCAATGACAATCGTCGTATTGATTTTTAAATTGAAAATTTGTAAAAAAAATCTTTAAGCAATACCAACCGAATACATATAATACTAACAAAATAACTGTTTACTTTCAAAATTTTTAGAAACGGATGTTGCCGATTGAAAGCAACACGAAAAATAACTTCTGAGACATCAGAAGACATATGTCAATTACTGAATGAATAAAAAATTGTAAAAAAATGTGAGAACAAAAAAAAAAAACTAAAGGAATACATAATTAGGATAATAAATTAACTTTTTAATTTTAGTATATAGATTCTAAGGAATTAAGCAAAATGCAGTATTAGCTTTACCACCCTGTATATTAAAGCCGATGAAAGTCGTTTTCACGTAGTCGCATATCCACAATTTTTGTTACCCGTCCCCCTACGATAAACAAGATATTTACTACTTCTAATAATTTCGAAATATGGTGTGCGGTTACATTGTATCAAAACCATTAAATGCTTACAACGGTGCTTTGGAGCCGCAAAAATGTAATTTTTTTCGAGGAATACTTTATAACCCTCATACGCTAGCGTCTAGTATGCGCTGTAAGCCCTTAAGACAAAAACCCTAAGCATTTTTTTTTCTTTTTTTTTTAATGAGACGAAGCACAATCATGTCAATAGTAATAGCCATCACCATCTTCAGGGCTTGATTTTGTATATGGCTATAGCCGGACGATCGCATCTGCCACACTTGGTGACGGCGTAGATCGAAATGTGCACATTTTTGGACAGATCGAGCGAATGGACCATAGCGCTGGTTCTAGCACCGCTCATTACCTTCGACAATAACGTGCCGTTGATGTAAATATCATACCCCGTGATGGTTTTGTCTCCAGGCGCGACCCACTTAATAATTAAACTGTCGCCAGTTATCCTTTTCACGTCTACCACCTCGAATTTCGTTAAATCGACCTTCTTGCAATCTTTCTCGTCTCTCTGAATGATCTGCGGCGTCGAGCAAATACACGATACTTTTTTGGACAGCTTTTTCTTCCGTTTGTGCGTTCTAACTTCCACCGACTTAGACTCGACGCAAGGTTCCGTCGCTTGGTCTCTGATGTCGGAACTGGGATAAATTATATCTGCCACCAGCTGCGACCTATCTAATGACTTGACGTCTTCCGCTTGATCGTAGTCCAAAGCTTGGCACATTTGCTGCGACATTATCAACACCTTGTCGATCACCTCCTCGTTGCCCCTCAACTGCAGTTCACCCGCCATCGCCGCGATCATCTTATCCTTCGCCTTGCATTTGTCCTGGAGATTGTTGAGCGCCATTTTCAAGCCAGACATTGTCTGTCCGAAAACGGACGCTTGCTTCACAAATGGCTTGGATCCCATCATGGTTCTGGCAGTTCTCATTTCCGCTTCCGTGCAAGCGCATCTGATTTGATTCAACGCTTTTTTAATCTCTTCGATCTCCTCCCTACACTCGCAGTTTTCCTTGGTGTGCGCTTGAATTTGCTGCTTCAGGGTGACGCTGTCCATTTTCCTAATTTCCGGGACTTGAAAGCTTGACTGAGCGGGAATGTGAGTGAACAAATCGGGACAGGGGCCACATTCGGGACAGTCGCAATCTGCAGGATGCTGCGCTTTGTCTTTTCTTGGTGTATCCGTTTCCGTCGGGTGGCTAGTGGTGGAGAAGAACTCTTTCGAAGGCTGCTTGGATATAGTGGATAGCGTTTTAGATTCTGCTTCAACTTTGCTAAGAACGCCTTCATCGCAGGTACACGTCGGACAGTCGCAGTGGATCGGCGTTTGAGGCCTCGACATTTTTGACGACGAAACCTGGGCCGCAATTTGCTTGGGTTCTCTTCCAAGTTGCTGAGTTGTTTTGCTACAAACCTCGCAGTCGCATCTTTGGCAATCGCACGGACTTCTCGCTGTCTGGTCGACATCTCTCTCGGCTTCCGTAGTTTTCGGCACGCGGGGTAACCTGATGTACCCCGGCTTCCTAGTACACTCCAAACATTCGCACGTCTTGCACTTGCAGTCCGGCTCTGCGAATTCCTCGAATGGCGGAGGGCCCGTCAAAGTGAAAGTTGGTTTCGCTTTGTCGCTAGATGGTAACTTGCGAATTCCCGCCTTTCTGCTGCACATTGAACAGTCGCACTTCCCGCAATCGCAATCCGGTACCGGAAACGCCTCAAACGGTGGAGGATCCGTTAAAACGAGAAGCGGCTTGGCCACTTCGCTAGATTTTGCGCTCAAGTACTCTTCTTTTTTACGTTTTAGAGGCGCCGCGCTAGGAATCTGCATTTCTGCCGCGAGATCTTCGCATGTGCACTCTGGGCATGTGCAATCTTCTCCGTGAGCCGATTCAAAGGACGACGAGGTTTTCCGTTGAGACTTTATTTCCTCCTCCAAAGATAGACATCCGGGGCAGACGCAATCAGGCGAATGTTTACATTGCGGGCACTCGCAATCTTTGGCATGCGCAACTTTGCTGGATATCTTGGGCGTCACCGGTCGCGAAATTATATCTTTTGCGGTGTGAGAAACTATTTTCGAAATCGTCGGCGTGCCTGGTCGAGCTGAGATATATTCTTCTTCTTCTTCTTCTAGACAATTGCAAATCAAGCAATCGCAACCCTTGGGATGGGGGACTCTGCTCGATACCGTCGGCGTTACCGGCCGAGCTGGACATCTGCAGACCACACAATTGCAATCTTTCGGATGGGAAACCCTTCTGGAGGTCGTAGGTGTTACCGGTCTAGACGCGAGTTCTTCCGGACACTGGCACACACGGCAAATGCAATCTTTTGGATGCGAAATTTTGCTGGATATCTTCGGCGTCACCGGTCGATCAATTATAATCTCACGTTCGGGATGAGAAACCATTCTGGAAATAGCTGGAGTTGCTGGTCGACCAATTTCTCCCGTACAGGTGCAGACCAAACAATCGCAATCCTGTGGATGGGAAACTTTCTTGGAGATCGTAGGCGTTACCCGTCGAGGTGCTGCAGTTTTTGCTTCCGGACAATTGCAGACCTGACAGTCGCAATCTTCTGGGCGTGAAACTGTGCTGGAAATTGTTGCTGGTGGCGGAGCGGCAGTCTTTTCAGTGGCGAACATTAGACCCTGGCACTCCACGCAAATGCACTGCTCGCATGTACAGCCCGGTCCCTTCACACCGTAGGCTCTTGGAGTAGGTTCCGTCCGCAATTGACTTGGCACTTGCGCTGGCAGCTCTTTCTTTGTTGCAGCATATGCTACCCCAATCTTCCTTTTGGGGCACGAAATACAAATACATTTACCACATTGACATTCGTCCGCCAAAGCTCTCCTTTCCCCTTCGTCGCATTCGCGACATAGACATAGCAAGCATTTACATCCGTCTGGGTGAGTGGACTTTATACGCTGAGACTGTTGCGATAGGGGCCGTACATATTGCTTTACTTTGCTTAAGCATTCCTTACAAAGACAATGCACACATTGGCAGCTCAGCTGTGACTTCAATTGCGTATCGCATTCTTTGCACAAACACTCTGCGCAATTGCAACCCTCGTGATGGACAATCCTGGCGCTTGGCTTTGCTAACCCGATTTCTTGTATTCTATCGCATACGTCACACCTGCATTCGATGCAACTGCATTCTCCATGGTGCCGTGCCACTGGAAATGACTCGGCCGGTTTGTCCTTATGGTCGCAAATGGAACAAATGCATTGGTCACATCTGCACCCTGCGGGATGAGAATGCTTCGTAGCGCATTCCACGCAGAGACATTGAGGGCATGCGCAGTCAGCAGCGTGAACGTCAGGTTGCGTCGCAGGCTGCGTCCCAGTCTCCAAAGTGACCACGAGTTCCGTCTGAATTATCTCCTCCAAACACATACACTCCCTGCACTCGCAGTCGGGAGGGTGAGGTATTTTCTTAGGCACTTCCAGCAGATCTCTTTGGTGAGGCGCAACCGTCTCTACTTTCGCCGCTTTTTTCGGATCTGCGCAGGGTTTGCAGTGACACTCTTTACAATCGCAACTGTCTACGGGTTTTATACTCTCCGCAGTGGGTGGTGGGACACCAGTTCGCTCCTTACCGGGATCCGGGCAAGGCACACATTGACAGCTTGGGCAATCACACGATGCTAGCCCTCCCTCCTCCTTAAGAAGTTTTGCGTGGTGTCGGGGTACTTCGGCACCATCTCCGCAGCCGCAAACGGTACAAGTGCAATCTTCGGGCTTTGTTGGAACTACGTCCTTTCTTTCAGACATTTTTTCAGTCACCTTCGGTTGCTTGAGGGGCGATCCAGGGCAGTCGCACATAGGACAGTCACAGTCGGATACTGGTGATATCTCTTTAAGACCCGGACAGGTGCAAGTAGGGCAATTGCAATCAGGTGGATGCCCGCCTTTATCTAGGTCTACATGCGTTGGAGGAACTTTGTCTACGTCTACGTGCATTGGGGGAAGAACGGTAGGTTTTTCTTCGATTGGCTTTTGGAGACCCGGACAGTCGCATAGTGGACAGTCACAGTCATCACCTGCTGGTGGTGCATGGGTAGTTAAGTGTTGGTCCGGGCGCGATTCCTTGGAAAACGGACAAGGACAAGTCGGGCAGTCGCAATCCGGATCAACTTCAGTACTACTTGCGACTGGCTTTACATCTTCCGTATGTCTTACAGGTGCTGGTACGGCAGTCGTTGCGTCTACTTCAGTTGCTGCCGCGCGTTTCGTTTCTGGGCAAACTTTGCAGGTGCAGACACCTATGCAAAAGCACGTTTTCCGTTGCGTGTCTAAAGGAGTAACAGGCTTTTTCACGTCCGGATCGGCGCAACTGGCGCATTTGCAGGGCTGGCACTCGCATGCGGATTTGTAGGTACCCTCCGACGCTGAAGATTTGGGTTCGATCGTCTGCGCTTCGAGTTTCTGGGTATGATCCGATCTGGCTCGCGGCGGATGCGGCGATGTTATCGAAATCGGTATCCTCGAACGTTGCTGCTCGACGTATCGCTTAGCGTTCGTGGCGTTGACACATTCGCAGTTCACTTTCACTTGGTAGACCTGTTTTTCGTCGAACACTATCGGGTACTCCCTGGTCATGGCGAGTTCTTTGACCTTAGGCAGGGTTAAGCAGTCCACGCATTCGCAGTCCTGTGCGTGTGCGTAGGACTTTTGGTAGTCGCACGTTTGCGGCGTCATTTCGGGAAATTTACACGACATAAATACGTCATCAATCGTGGTCTTCGATTTGCCTCGTTTGCTTTTGCCATCGGTTTTACGCGAACCCGATTTCTCTGAGCATTCCGCACGGCACTCGCTTGCCGCCTTGTCAACGTTTGGACAAGGGCTGCACGGGGAGCATCTGCAGTCTTCGCATGTACATCCTTGAGAATGTCCGGCCGATCTGGAAGTCTTCATCGAGCATGTCATTTGCATAACTTGAGGCACGACGATAACTTGAGGCGGACATTCGCAACTGAAACTGCGACGTCGTAGTGCGGCGTTCCTCTTCTCGATGACCTTTGGCGCGCAAATTATGCACTGGCACACGTCGCCGCAGTCACACTCGATCTTCTTGAGTACCTTGGAGGAAGAATTGCGTTTCTTTCGTTGGGGCTTGCTCTTTTTGATCGCCTGCCCCGTTAGGGTAGGATTCAGGCCTTTATCCGACAACTGAGAAACTATGGAGGGTACTTCGTTAGACTTTTTTTTATACCGCACCTCTTCCGGGTTCCCATCGGGGCTAGAATTCTTAGCAGGAACAACGGGAGACATGGCAATATCTTTGGTCTTTGTTTTGGAACTTTGGACGGAAATTGTTCTACAGCTCGCTTTGCAACTCGCGGATCCTTCCCGGGAAGATGGCTTCTCCTGAAGCGACACTGACCTTGACTGATTCAGGGACATTGCGGCAGCCGAAGTGCGAATTGAGCTGCATATGGCCTTGCAAGAGTCCGACGTGCTTCGCACCTTTTGAGGTTCTTCTACCAAGAAACTAGATTCGTCTACGATAGAAATTATCTTCTCCACAAAATCGTCATCAGCTCTTAAACTTGCTTTCGCTGGAGGTGAGTCCCGGGGTTCTTGAGAAGTTGATATTGGCAATTCGTCAATCTTGATATATTGCTCAGCACTTGGAGTGGCACGTTCCTTGGATCGGTGCAACTGTTCTGGTGGATAAGAAGTAACGGGACGAATTTTTGCCTCGAGTTGTTGCGGTGGTGTCAATTTTGTGGGTTGGATAGCTAATTCAACCGGAATTTGCTGAGCCACCATTTCACGCTCGACATTTTGTTCCTCCACCATTTTGCCGTGTACACCCGGTTTGGCAGCTAATGCTTTTTCGGGTTTGTACCAACCTGTTACAAATTCTAGCGGGTCTTGGCTTATGGGTAGTACTACTTTATCTTCCACGTTCCCAAAATCTTGTAGTTGTTGAACCCCTGGCACGGGATGTTGAGAAGTGGCAACTATCATCCCTTGCTCTTCTGGTACCTCAATAGATTTGGGTCTATCATATACAAACGCCATTTCTGCTGCAGATACGTGAGGTAACTCTTGCTTTCTCGCGGGTTCCTCTTTTGGTATTTCATCTTGGGCTATTATTTTTTCTGTTAAAACTGGTCCAACACTGTCTTTCGCCACGGTTTCACCTGTTAACTTTGGACTTTCCTTGGACGGTTGGGACATCATTCTGTCAATCAGGGGCTGCTCGTACCCCAGTGCTATCAGTACTGAACGTTGTTCTTCTGCTGTTTTACCTACGAACTCGGGGTATTTTGCAATAAGAATGGGGTCCGTTTTGTGTTGCGTTTCTGCTTGGTCCGATGGAAGGTTGCTAATTTCTTCAACAGTGTCCCCTGAAATTGACGAGGAGTAGTTCAGATAAGAAAATATGTTATAATCCCAACTTTACACACAAGTATCTGAAAATAGCTACTGTGTGGTTTATAAAGTCTATTGTTCATTCAATGTATGTATAAAATCAAATACCCAATAAAAATCTTGAAACCTGCTTTTTGGTGAGTTTTAATAACTTTTTTACCATTTGAGAGAAATGGGGGCTTTGTTATTTATTATAATAAGCATAATACTTGCAAAGCTCGTACCCCGTCGTGAAACTCAAGAATCCTATGAAAATAATGTAACACCAGTCGGTAAGGAAAATCGTTTAAAATTTCAATATGTAAAAGAAATTGAAATACTTGAGATTATTAATATTGTTAACACTAAAACAGCAATCTGGATTTAGACCTAATTGAAGCTTAATACGTTTAATAAAAGTAATCACCCGTTGCTTTTATCGACATTGGTTTAAGTTTAAGTGTATTATATTTTGGTACATTTTTTATTCTCTATTTCTATATCACAATTCTCAAAAGTCTTCTTATCATGCCTGGGTCACTTTTGTGCAGATGAGCTGCAGACGTAGAAAAATTTTGAAAATCTACATTAAAGTTTTAAATATGGAAGGTAAACCATAAATACATTTTAAAGATTGAGGAAAAAAATTTTGGGTTGTTGATTGAATCAGATTTGAGATTTACAGCCACATGTTAATAACTATCTAAAAAAGGCGGACCTACATGAATTTAAAATTAATCTATCAACAATGGTTACTTTCCGATTCATTAGTCTTACTTTAAATGACATATTGTGATGTTGTCTATGGTAACTGCTTTACAGTCCATGGTATAGAATACAAGAGCTACAAAATTCTTGTCTACGCTTTTTATAATCACACTCTAGTTCAAAACAAGTCGTTAAATATGAAAAATTGGCTTATTTTATATCTATTTAAAAACTATAAAAATATTAAAGAGTAAATATGCTTATAACAGGCAGCTGTACCCTATGAAATATCTGCCCATAGGTCCATATCTGTTGTTATATAGAATGGTTTTCTATTACGGTTTTTTATTTTTTTGTTAGCAAATTCTGTGAATGATTTGATATGCTCATTTAAGATTGTCACATGATATGGTTAATCTATTTTGTCCGGATATTTCTTTGTGTTGGAGACTAGGTTGACTCTAAGGACAGTTGGCATTTATTTAAATTTAGATTTAAATAAATAAAGACCTTTATTATTTTTTAAACTAGCAAAAAATTATTACCTGTATGATTAATTTTTCTTGGTTAGCTTTGCTCTAATTAAATTATTTGTTGTTTAACTCAAACAAATTCAAAAATTGTGAACTGTTTCCAAACGCACATTTGATCATGTTTCATTTTTATGTACATTCCTTAAAAAAAATGCGTTTGCTTAGAATGGCAAATGAAAATGAAAAGAATTTGGGAAGATCCGACAGATATGAATTTTTCATTTCCAATTTATTATCCGATTTTATAACATTTTCCACAAATGACTGGCAATTTATACAAAGCTGTATGTAATACAGAATGTACATGTACAATTGCGTACAGGGGACCTGATGAGGTTTAGGTTCCCAATTCCAAAAAAATAGATGACTGGTTTCACACTACAAGCCACAAAAATATTATAATAAATAAAATGACAGACGAATAAAAATTAAAATTTGCCATGGAAAGTGCTTAAAATATTTGTATTAGTATATATTTAGTAAATAACTTAAATGACTTCTACATCAAGTAGTTAAGAAGGTCGCTGCAGCTTTTTGCTGGGACCAATCTTCTCTTACCTGTTTTCTTTCCAAAATCTTGATCTTCGGCGATCTCGTTCGTTTCGCTTAATGTCATGAAATCGGAATCGCTGTCGTCTTTCTCCCCAGTTTCCTCCACCATTTTGCACATTTCGTCTGTTTCGGTGATAGTTTCCTTGTCTCCGGATGTTGTTATTCCGATTTCTTTACATTCGCAGCATTGACATGATTGTTCTTTTTCGTCTTTTGATTGACAGCCGCAGTCAACGCCGTGACTTTTCACAGTGGGCTTCGATGTTTCCTCCGCCTCTGGTGCCACTGTAGGGGCGTCTGGTGCAGCATGTTTTCGGACCTCGAAAACTTGATCTTCAACATCTAAAGTTACTTTTTTATCAGCAACCTTATTGCTTGCTGTGACATCCAGTTCGGTGGATACGGGCGCACCAAATTCCAGCATTTCGTCTAAATTCATACTGCTTCTAGTGATATTCAAGAAAATATTTACTTAATTCTTACCTCTAATGACAGTTTCAATAGTTGGTTTTATAATACCTTTCTCACTTGGAGAATCTACCTTGTCATCTTCACTGATTCTGAGACTATCACTGCTAATGGGCTCTTTACTTCCTACTTTTTCTTTCATTTCTTTTGGAGACTCTACCAGTTCATCTCCACTGATTTTGAAACTATCAGTTCTAATAGGACCATTACTTCCTTCTTTTTCTGAAAGCACGCTGCTCGGTACTTCTTCCGTTGTCACCAGTTGAAGCGATGCTATCGTTTCTGGTTCCAAATCTCTTGGTGGGGATATCATTTCTTTCGAGTCTTTGACAATCGGTATAACTTCCTCCATACCGCTAGTGATCTGACTAGTGAGCTCCGACGTAAGCTCGCTGCTACTAAATGGGGTGTCTTGGGCTGATGGGCCTGTAAATAACGGGATTCTCGCTAAACTGGTCTTTGAGTTCTGCCTGAATACCTGATATGAGGCTTGATATAATAGGAACAATTGGCTTAAGTTTTGTCTCTGGATCAGCAACCTCAGGATGGGTGCTTAGTAGCGACTCCAATGGAAGCGAGATTGGAGATTTGGTGCTATCCGCAAATTGAACCATTTCAGTAACAACCTCAACGTTGCCATCTTCGGTGTAGGTGAGAGTAGTTTCTAACAAGCAGAATATAAACAAATACATTAATAATTATGGTGATTTGTTACCGATCGTGCCCGCTGGACCTTCCGTGGTCACCTCCAATGTACCGGAACCGGTAATTGTGGTGGTCATGTGCAAACCAGACGGCGGTTCCTCAAGTACTTGTATTTCGTTCGTCACAGAGAATGGCAGCGACCCTGCTCGCTCCTCTTCGAATAATTGTTTAGAAAGTTGTGATGGTTGGGTCTCTTCTAAAGCTCCAGTTTCCTTAGCTTTAGATAAGTGCTTTGGTGAAGAAGTTTCTTTAAACTCTATTTGTGCTTCTATAATTGGCTCAAGTGTTTCTTGTGTCTCTTGAACCTCCATACTCCTGGGTTTCGTAAATTGAATATCTTTCAGAACTTCAGTAGGCTTTGCTACTTCTCGTTGAAGTTTTGGAACCTGTTTTTCTTCCCCAGTTTTAGCTAATTCCAATTTTCGTATTTCCTTTTCCTCTGTTGGAATGGAGGGTTCGACTATTACAGCCTCACTTATATCATTCATGCTGCGTTTCGGCGTAGATGTCCACAATTTTGGTTGCTCATCTGCTGCAAATTCGGACGAAGCAATTTTTCGCATTGATGGAGGTGGTGTGGTGATGTCTTTACGAATTCCTTCAGGAAGTCGATCGATTATTTGGTGGGGGATTTTTTCAATGTCTTTCCTAACAGATGGGGTCATCAAATCTTTTTCTCGACTAGGTGAAGTGGCAGAGAACTCGTTTCTCATTTCAGGTTTCAAATCGACTGAGATTTCCTGTTCTACTCTGGTAGGTTTTATGATTTGTGAACACACTGCTGTGCAAACAATATGACTCTCTCCCTTCAGATTCTCTCTACATGACATGTCTATAGCTTCGCAGGGAATATTAATTTTTGGTTGTGATTCGATGGGTTGTAGCTTTATAAGTTTAGATGGTACTTCAATATCTGTGATTGTATCATGCTCTACACTTCTTGTTTTACATGGGAGTCCGATATGAGAACAGGGGTATGTTACCCTGTCAACATCGGACCTATCGGTAGTAGAGTATTTGGAAAATTCATCACGGGAAGGTTCAGTGGCCTCCTTGGTTTCTAATGTAGTCATTTCTCGACTACTTCCATCTTTTTGGATAAATGACTGCGGTACCGACAATAATGTCCTGACCTCCTTTTCAGTTTGCGGTGCTGTTGTCGACAAAACAACTTCTTCGTCTTCATGCAACTCGCAACAACAAACATCAGACTCTTCTTTAGCCATTGCTTTCGGTCTGGTCTTCGGTGGCTTTCTAGTCAACACCAGATCAGTTAAATCTTTGATGCATTTTGCGGCACCTGCGAGTTCCGCGGGTAAGTTCGAGCATTCCTTACACGGTGCGCTTTCTTTTAGAGTTTTGCTCAATTTTCTGGCAATGACGGCTAAGCTAGAATCGCATTTGAATTCATCCGATTCCTGTGTCGGAAGATCGACGCCATATTTACGACGAGTTAGCAGTTTAATCGTGTCGGCCTCGTTGATCTTCTGTTTGATTAAATCGTCTTCTAATTTGGCGCAAACACTGTCCAACTGAGTCATTTCACTTTTCAAACGTTGGTTTATTTGATTCAGCTCGGTAATATTCGAGTTTGCGCAACAAAGTTGCAACTTTAAAGCGTTCATTTCACGCAGGTACACGTCTTGGTTTAATAGCAAGTTCTTCGAAGCGGTATGCAAGTCCTGCTGGAGTTGTTCGCATCTCATTTTTTCGGTCAGTAACTTTTGCTTCATCGGACCTTCCACTTTTTCCAGACAATGTTTCAACTCGAGCTTCATGTTCATCAACTCCGACTTCAATGCGCTATTTTCTAGTCTCAGATCATGACTTATTCTCATCACTTCCGTCTCCAACTCTTTCTGGTTAACTCCGCAGGGACAACACATTTCTGGTTTCAAATTTTCCATAGTTTTGTATCGAGTCTCGTATGTTTGCTGTTTCATTTTCAATTCTTCGACGTGCGCCTGTAAATTCTGTTCATTTTTTACCAGTTCCGAGATTTCTTGTATGTGGTGAACATCCTCGGACTTCAACGGGTAAGCTTTGCTTGCGCATATCTTCTCGGAGCTTTTTGGAAGATACTCTAGCTCTGGAGAACCAATAAGAGAACATTGGTTGTCCCGGTTTTTTTGCCTAAAATCGGAAGTCTGTACTGTCATATTGGTCCCACATTTTAGGTATTCACAGGATACACTTTTATCCTCGCAGCGGTAAGTCTGATGGGGACTTACGGCTTTGGAGTGGGATTGATAAGAGGTTTGAATAGCCAGATTGGCTCTTGCTTCCTCTTCTACGTAAAAGTTATCCAATGTCAGCCTTTGATCGTCTACTATAGAGGAATCACATTTACAGAGCTTTACCACATCGTCAGATCGCGTTATCACTTTTGAAGTCGCAACATCTTTGCTAATAGACGTGCCAGCTATAGCAGCTGAAGTAGAAGTCTGCACCGAAGCTTTTACCTTGCCAATGTTGGTCTGAATCTTTCGACTGGTCAAAACCTGCTGAACTGATCGATCGCAGATGCAGCTGGTACCGGTTGTTGTTGTTGTTTTAGGACAAACGCAGGAAAGCTCTTGAGCGGCACTTTCCTCAGATTCCTCACAGAATATGCTCGATGACTTGTCAGTCAGATTAATATCAAGTTCTGCCGTGTTCTTGGTAGCGCTAACCAGAGTAGAGCTCAGAGTCTCTTCATTAGTCACGCTAGCAGTCGGATACGAGTATTTAATGGACAAAATAGATTTGGCATTGTCCATCATCTTCTGGAAGAAACTGCAAGACATGACTTGCGGTTTCCCATCAGCAGCGGCTTTCGGCACATCCCTTTCTGGTGCGTCCGTGTATTTGGGGAATTCTCTCGGTATTTCCTCTGCCCCGCATTGACATTTGGTGTCTGCCGGATTATCGCTAGATTGGAGAAAGTTCTGCATTTGGAAAATTTTACTTTCCAGCTCCATTTGCTGCTGTCGCAAGTTGGCAGTGCGTTCTAAGTACTTCAATTTCAAAAGTTCCAAGTACTGCGTGGGATCCTGGATGGTATCGCAAAGACATTGGTCCTTGAGCTCCATTGATCGTTGCCGAAAGGCTTGGGAACGTTAAATTTGGTAGATCACGTAACTGGCAATTGGCGATTGGACAGTTGTTGACATTAATGTCTTATTTGAAGGATGTGGGCTGTCTGATTAAATGTCATCAGTTATTAATATAACCCGTAGTTAAAATTAAATGTTCCACCAGAGTTATTGCTGGATAACGCATCTATAACGTTTCAATAAAATTGTGAAACAAAATTATACAGCACTTAGAGTCCAATCTTCTTAGCTATGCTGCTTGTTGCTTCTTTTGATATCAACGTACCTTTACTTACTTTACCGTACTTGCCTTACTTAGTTAACAATATTAATTTAATTAATTCTTATTAAATTTTATACAATATTAACTTAACAGCTTAAATGATGCACAACAAAATATAACCAAATAAATAGCGAAAAACAACTGCATAAGTTGAAATACTTCTGATGATATTTAGTCGGGCCTCCCTCATTATCGATAACGTCTTCTGGGTATTGATTCAACTAATTTTCTAGTATTCTCCGAGGAAATTGTGATCCATACTTCAGTAATTTTTACTTTTGATTCATTCTTGTGGGATATTGGGGCACTATTTACTTTGTTTTTAATGTCAACCACAAATTGTCAATTACATTTAAGTTTGCTGACTGGGCTGGTGCCTTAATAACATTTGGGAAATTATAAAGCAAACAACTGCGGACCCGAAATGTCGTGTGATTTGGATCATTGTCATTATAGAACCGATAATTGTTACCCATATTTAATTTTTGGGCACTAGCAACCAGATGCTGTCTTAATATATCGAAATACACATATTGGTTCATATTTCCTTCAATGAAATGCTTATTACCTACTCATGCAGATGACATACAGCTTCATAACATCACTTCACCTCCACCGTGCTTTACCGTAGAGCTTTTAAATTTTTCAATTTTTCATACTCATTGTTCGATCTTATTTTGGTAGAGGAATATTTTTCGGGTAAATTGTGACTATCAATTAGTTTTTTTTTATTATTATAAATTTGCCTAACCTCTAGCCTGGTTCAGCCAGGCTATTTTTTTGCGACGCTGTGCGCGTTTCTTTTTTTGAAGAGACAATCGACAAAAAGGAACGAGAACGGCACGGTAGGATCTACTTTCCGCGTCGATACAAAATTTGGTCCTTCGAGCCGGATATTAGTTTTCGGAAAATAATTGTGTAATCGGTGATTGCAAGACTTTCCTCGGATTTTTCGTTGTTCTCGAGCAAGTGCCTTTCGTATTGTCGTATTTGGATCGACAAAAGCCGAGAAAAGATCCAGGTAAAAGGTTGGGCAAATAAATTTAATTTTACCGATTTTACAATTTACCTTGCTCCGCGACCAAGAAAAATTCGTTTTCTTTTTTTCATCGTTTCGTCGAAATTCGATTAATATATCTATGTATATATATATATATATATATATATATATATATATATATATATATATATATATATATATATATATATATATATATATATATATATATATATATATATATATATATATATATATATATATATATATATATATATATATATATATATATATATATATTTCTTTTCCATTTCGCCGAGGCATTAGCAATTTTGTATGCTAAGATGGCGTTGCCAGATGAGTTTGGATATAGGAAAGAGAATTTGTTTCGAGCAAATCCAATTGACTTCACCTTTACTTTGAGAGGCATTCTAGCCGGGTTTAAATCTTGACTAGCCTCATTTTCGGATTCTTAATTTAACCTAAATAACTGATTTCATTTTATCGATAATTAGCGGCGGCAATTTAGAAAATTTCGGGTCTTTTTTTGTCCATTTTGTTATTGGAAAATGGCACCCACTCTTTCGGCCTCCAATACTGAAAAATATATATAGATATATAGATATATCGTTCAAAGAACTACTTGTTTAAATAGTATTAACGAGGCATACTCCTTAGCTGTAAAAGCCAAGGCTGATGACTCGCAAATTTATGAACTCAAGGGTAGGTATGAAGATACATTGAAAGAATATACAAAATTTCAAGAACTTCATAACAATATCTTGATTTTAACTTCTGTTTTGGGGGAACAAGAATTTTTACAACAGGATGAAAAGATATTTTATAAGTTCAAAGCGATTTATTTCGAGCTTGTTGGTAGTGGTTCTTCGTCCGCACCCATTTCGCAATTTACAAAAAAATCTATCAAACTGGAGCCTTTAGGCGTAAAGGTTTTTTCGGGTAACTATAAAGAGTGGAGAACATTTCTTGACATGTTCAGTAGTTGTATTCACCGCGATACCGAGATAGCCGATATCGATAAATTTAGGTATTTGCTTAAGTATTTGGAGGGTGAGCCTTTAGCTCTGGTTCACTCTATGCCTCTTACGGGCGATAACTATTCTATTGCACATAATGCACTGGTTAAAAAATATGAAAATCATAGACTGATTGCTACAAATTTTTGGAATGAAATTTACTTTTTTCCTCCATTGAAAAGTGATGATAATATTACGGAGTTGAGCAAACTCTTGAATACATTTTCCGAAAATTTTGAGGCACTCAGAAACTTGCAATACCCAGTTGATCAATGGGATTTCGTAAACTTTCATTTGCTTTTGCATAAAATTCCAAGCAACACGCGTAATAGATTCGAACTTGAATTTGCTAATAAAACAAACTTCGAAGAGACAACCCTCATATAAAGACCTGT